TTCTTTTGCATAAAGATTAAAATTTGATTTGGAACGGGAGTCAAGGATTTACTTCATTTGGTCTGAATTCACATTTTCCACCTCATTTGAAATAAAATATTTTGTAAGTTAAAATAGCATCTCAGCTAGGAAGAAATATTATAACAACACTTCACTAAAATTCTCGAGAAACATTTTAAAATCCAGAAGTCACTCTGTTGATAATATTATTCCCCCACGGACTTCATGTCAAAACCAAATGATGATGCATTTTCCCTAAGGCATTGTTTATATGGCAGGTCTTCAACCATATATTACTCACAGTATGTACCTTATCAGACCTGACAAGATTACAGCCTGAAGAGTTATATTTTGATTCAATAAGAGTATGGACTTGAGCTTCAAAGGAATAATAAAGCCAAACTATTATAGTTCAAGTACTTTAATAAATATTAAATGATAAATGAAGCTGGTTCCACACTAGCTTCAGGGCCTGTGGATAATAAAAGGAAATCTTCAAATGGTGCCAAACAGTATTATGGCTGTCTTGCCTTTTATAATCTGTCTGTGGCTCTTACCATTATAGTTGTCAGAGCTGGGAGTGATAAGGTAGGATGTATAATTTTTGCTTCTGATGGAATTAAAAGAGACTTTAAAAGTAATCCATCTCTTTAGCAGGATAAATACAGAAATGTGCTTTTTGGCAATACTGTAATAGGTATTTTTTAATCACTCCTCACTTACCTACTCTCTCTAAAAGTAAAGTTGTGGACTTGATGTTGAATGTGAAACATACCAGGTGATATGCATTTTCATTATTGTTAATTTCTAGTTTTAATGGAAACTAGAATTTAGTTATATCATCATGTTTGGGATGTCAAAACATGTCCCAGCAGTAGAATGCAGAATGCCTATGATTCATAGAAGATCACTAAGTTATGTGATTATATGGAAGAAAAGGTAAGTGAAGCTGCGTGTCAGAGAAAGCCCATCAGTACTGTTGTCATAAAGTCTACTGTGGGCCGGGTGCAGTGGCCCACTCCCATAATCCCAGCACTATGGGAGGCCGACGCAGTTGGATCACCTGAGGTCAGGAGTTCGAGACCAGCCTGGCCAACATGGTGAAACCCCTGTCTTTACCAAAAATACAAAAGTTAGTTGGGCGTGGTTGCAGGCGCCTGTAATCCTAGCTACTAGGGAGAGTGAGGCAGGAGAATTGCTTGAACCGGGGAGGCGAAGATTGCAGTGAGCCGAGATTGTGCCATTGTACTCCAGCCTGAGTGACAAGAGTGAAACTCTATCTATCTCAAAAAAAAAAAAAAAAGTCTACTGTGGCAGAGAAATTCTAAGATGTCCTAATAATCCTGCCTCCTGGTGTTCATGCCCTTGTACATTAAAATTGAGCCAGCCTAACTTTTTTTTCTAACCAATTGAATATGGAAACCATGATTGGATATAACTTCTGTGATTAGGTTAGATAAGATAGTGACATTCCCTTTTGCTTACCATACTCTTTCCTTCGGTGGCTTTGATGAAACCTGTTGCCATATTGGCACATGCAAGGAACAGAGAGCACCCTCCAGCCAACAGCCAGATAGGAACTGAGACCCTCACCTCAACAAGTCCTGTAAGAACTGAGTACTGCCAACAATTATGCAAGCTTGGAAGCAGATCCTTCCTCAGCCAAGACCTTAGATGAGACCCCAGCCATGGCTGACACCTTAATTGCAGCCTTGTGAGAGACCTTAAAGCAAAGAGCCCACTTAAGCTATTCCCAGGTTATTGACCCACAGAAACTGTGAGTTTATACATGTGTGTTGTTTTAAGCTTCTACGTTTATGGTGTTGGACACATAACAATAGAAAACTGATACATTCAGTGTATTAGTTTGATAGAGCTACCACAACAAAGTACCACAGAGTAGGTGGCTTAACCAATTGTTACAAATTTATTTTCTTACAATTCTGGAGGCTCAGAAGTCTAAATTAAAGGTGTCAGAAGCACTGATTTCTTCTGAGGCTTTTCTCCTTGCCTTGTAGATGCCTATCTTCTCCCTGTGTCTTCATATGATCTTCCTTCTGCATGTGTCAGTGCACCAGTCCCCTTTTCATATATGAACACCAGTCATATTAGATTAGAGCCCACAATAATGACCTCATTTTAGCTCAGTCACCTCTTTAAACATTCCATCTCCAAATACAGTCACATTCTCTGGGATCTGAAGATTAGGATGGCTTCATATGAATTTTACAGGGAAACAACAGATGAGCCCATACAATAGGCTATATAAAGTTCTATAATTATGTTTATCTCTATAACAAAAGCTCTGTAGAACTTACTGTCTGTAAAGATTTTTTACTTCCTTTTTATTCTTTATTTTAACATAATTATTTTTCAGATGATTTATATATATATAAATTACTATCTATATATAAAACTGTATTTATATATATATATATATATAGTAATCACATAGCTTAGCACATATGTTTGCATATTCCTGTCTCCATAACAAAATTCTAATCTCTGTAAGCATATGTCTTTCATATGCTTTATTATTATTATTCTGAGACGGAGTCTCCCTCTGTTGCCCAGGTTGGAGTGCAGTGTTGCGTTCTTGGCTGACTGCAACCTCCATCTCCTGGGTTCAATTGATTCTTCTGCCTCAGCCTCCTGAGTAGCTGGAATTACAGGCACCTGCCACCACACCTGGCTAATTTTCACTTTTTTTTAGTAGAAATGAGGTTTCGCCATGTTGGCCAGGCTTGTCTTAAACTCCTGGCTGCAAGCAATCCACCTGCCTTGGCCTTCCAAAGTGCTGGGATTACCAGCGTGAGCCACTGTGCCCAGCCACTTTCACATACTTTACATGTATCACTTTGCAGTATTTATTCATGATATTGCTGTTAGAGGGATTTTCAAAATCTACCTTAACTTTTTGTATTTGCTGTATACATCTAAATAAGTTAGAAGTAGTTTTTCTTGAGAATAAGGACTTGTTAAAAAGGGAGTTTGAAGAAATTATATTTATTAGAAGTTGGTATAGTTTTAGATAATGGTAGGTCCAGAAAGTATCTGTCTTTGTATTTGAGAATCCAGATATAATGGAGATATACTATTAGAGCCTATCTAATGCTGTGCAGATTTATTAAGACATTATTTTTTTACACTTTGAGCTATTAATAGCACTGCATGTGTTTAAAATATTTTTTAAATGACCAAAAAAATCTACATTATATTCAACAGTTAATTATAGAATACACCAATAGTCCTCAAAGAGTGTATCTGCAAATCTTGGGAGTACCTGAAACTCTCTTAGGGGATCTTCAGGTCAAAACTATTTCCAAATTAAAGCTAAAACATCATTTGTCTTTTATTTTAAAAAGCGTTGACGTTCTTTTTTTTTTTTTTTTAGACGGAGTTTTTGCTCTTTTTACCCAGGCTGGAGTGCAATGGCGCAATCTCGGCTCACCGCAACCTCCGCCTCCTGGGTTCAGGCAATTCTCCTGCCTCAGCCTCC